CAGATCAGGGTTCGATTCCCTGGCCGGGAAAAACTGTTTTTTGGACCGCTTCGATTGCTTTTATTTTCTGTTTGTTTTAGTCTCCAACATCCCTCGCTCGATGAAGATTCTGAACTCACCAGTCGACACGAAGGTGCTGCTCAAGCACACGCACTGACGCCACGTAGACTGCAAAGGGGATAATGCATTGCATCGGTCTAACTAGAATAAGCAGAGGAAGCCGAATGAAAAAAGAGCTCATGCTGTCTGGTCCATCTCTGGCTTGGCGTCGCCAGGGCTTTGTGCGGCAGACATGGCTGCGGAATGGTCGCCCATGCCTTCGTCATAGTCATCGGCGTCGGTCCATCCCAGCGGCGCACCTCGCCCCGACACACTGGGATCGTCCGAGGGGGGCAGGCCGAGTTTCTCGCGCAGCTCGTGGATCTCGTTTCGACACACGGCGAGCGCCTGGTCTCTGCGGTCGAGCCTCTTCTTGAGCCGGATGAGGTACTCGTTGCTGTGCCTGAGCAGCGCGACCTTGGAGATGGCCTTGTTTGCCGACCTGGCCATCTCGGGATCGCCCACGTCGGCGGGGTTGAAGCGCTCCGCCTCGCGGTCCTCCTCGACACCATCGGGCCCCAGCAACGAGCCGTTTGGCGCATCCTCGTCGAGCGTGATGGCGGGGAGCAGACCGCGCAGCTCGTCAAAGCAGAACTTGAGCGAGTCGCGGCGCTTCTGCTCGGCGGCCTTGTGCGATGTGCGGCGCGACTCGAGCCCGCCAGCCGACTTGTACGAGAGCCATGCATCGCGCTCCGCCTGCGACAACCCGCCAGGCTGGATCGGCATACCGCCCATCTGCGGCAGGTTGAACGTCACCTTGGGCGCGGCGCCCATGTGCACGGCCGCCGACGGGAACGGCGCAATGTTGGCATACATCTGATGCGTGGGCTGCGAAGCCATACCCATGCCATCTGGCTGCAATTGCTGCTGCACCATCGCCTGCTGCTGCTGCTGCTGCGGCGGCGGCGGCGGC